CAGTAATATCCTCCTCTAAAAGCTCCACATGCTGCTGGCCATTTTCAGCCTGTAATTGGCGACGTCGATTCTCGAGGAAATCAGCAGCAATATCGTCAGCATATCTTTCCCAAAGCTCGCCAGGCGTCAGGATATCGCAGAATGCCAGGATGACGGCGAAGAGATCACGGAGCCGTGACGCGGATGTGGTGACCTCAACGGCTTCTCCAAAACACCTATTCCACTCATCGTCGTCTTGTAACAATCCGCGTGCCTGTGCAGCAGCCTTAAACGTGGGATATACTGTGCCTTCAAAAGTGCGGATATCCTCAAAACTGGTGGCGCCCGGAACGTGCAACAACAATAGCCTCAAGCTATATTTCTCCAGGTCGCGTGGCTGTACAAAGTACAATCGAGAGACTGGTGCCACACCACGGTTATGCATTCGTCCACGGCGATACCATCCACGTTGTCTGCTGTGCGTATATGCCGAGTAGATGTCGACATATAAGTATTGTCGTGCGTCAGGGTCGCGCTGGTTCAACGCAAACCAATCTACCAACGTCGAGCTCCGGTTGCGTGCTGCGCGTTGCAAGTCTCGAACATCGGCATCAGCTTCAAAGTACACGTTCTCTTCTGATGGCAAATGGATATCTAAGCGCTTTACTGCTGGAAAATGACTCTGCATATCCTTCTCGAAAATGCGCCAACAACTTTCTGCTGCCGATACGTATCGTACATTCAAAAATGCATCAATCTCATCAACGTTTTCTTCATTTGCTTGCGTCACTGTCGCTGCACTTTGGGTGCCTACTGTCACCTCGGCACGGTCGGACCCTTTGTAAACGTACTTGTATAGGTACTTTACAGCTCGGTTGCTGGAGCAAATTTCGACGTTGATATGGGCGTTGTACTTTGTTGTAAGATATAAGTTGTACGGAACGACCCATCCATTTCCGACATTGTATGTTGTGCGGTTGACAATTCTTTCGATTGTGCGATCAGGCATATCACGTCGACGATATGTTATATTGCCGTTTTCATCGAATCGAGTTTCATTGGCGAATGGTTTGGGAAATCGTTTTGAGCATGATCCATTACTCATACAGATGGCGCGTGGATTGAGTAAAGAGCCACAGGGAGTATGGATCATATTGCGTGTGACAGTGGCATATGCCTGTGGATAGCGCTGGGGGTCTGGAATTTCAGCAGAAACGATGTTGTCGACATCCTCAACAGTGCGTATTTTGGAGTCATCGTGCATAATCAAAACAATGTGGGCATGTGGCAAGCCGCGCTTTTGGAATTCAATTACTTGAACCCATGCGACAACATTGCCGAGCACGTTATGATCTTTGAGATCTGCCATTATTAGCTTGATCTTTTCAGAAAAAACACGGGCAATCAAGTCAGGGCGATCAGATGGCTGCTGTCCATTAGAGGCCAAGGCTTCTCTTATTTCCGGCCACTCTGGGTTGCACGTAACAGTTATAAAAAGATCCGGCTTTCCAAAATGTCGCACAATAGCCATTGCATCCTGATACAGCTGATGCATATAACTTTATAAAGAAACAGAACAGAAAAAGATAACAGAGATTGATGTAAGCAATTTCATGTATAGTAACATTTTATTTTATTTTCACCATAACAAACTCTCCACAGCAAAACGCTAGCTGATTGTAATTCTAAACGATCCCAGGCACGATACTCATGTTGCTATCTTAAAGAATAACTTACCGAGGACTGCCAGTATGAGAAGATGGAAGGATAACACGACGACCCAAATTTCGAGCCAGCTCGTTATTATCTTCTCCTACATCTTGCTGGAGCGCATCAGCCATACCACTGTAAAGTTCCACGCGTAGCTGTCTTTGATGGCTGCGATAGTAATGCATACGACGGTGCTCAATCTTTGCGTACATATCGACAATGTACTGGTGCCAAAGTCGCCCATATAGATGCGCAAGAGACTCGCCACGTTCTTGGATGCGGTAGGCGTAAAATTGACGAACCGAGACAGTACCCTGACGACCATGACGCTCCCGACCTGGCTCAGCTTGAGCATGCTGATGTCCACGAAGAGGAATTCCTTCACTCCATCCATTTTCTGCATTTGGGAACATAAGGACATAATGCAGTGGATCATACAAACTACTTGTCTCATTAATCCTTTGCATCCCTCCATCACGGCGAAAGAGAACAACATCACGATAGGTAGCATCTTCGCCTGGATTGTCAACAATCAGTACAGCTATTTCGTCAGCAGTAGGAGCTGCATACTGTCTTCCGCGGCGCTGGCTCCCGGAGATGCGTATCCCCAAGTTGACACCTGGTGCACCGCGCAAACGCTCAGCTGCCGTCCGAAAGGTCTGAACATGCTGATTATTTTCATCAAGCATAGCCTGCAAATCAAGCAACAATGCACGATCCAGGTTTCCATCTAATACATTGCCGAAAAAGTCATATAAGACCGTTCGTTATAAATTGTGTTTACTAATGCTAACCTGGAAAGACTGTCTGTCTGATTGCTGCCTGCTCTTGAGGATCATATATGTAGATTTGAGCAAAGCGGGGCGGACGACCATCTTGAGGAACAATGGAACTGATTCTGTGGTAGACAGTGCCTTGGATACGAAAAGAGTATGCTCCGCCTCTAGCATTGGTATAATTTTGGTCGAGACGATCCACACCAAGGGAAGCAAATGCAAAAGTACCATTGTATAGGCGGATCTGTTCACGAAACGTTGACGATTCCTCATCTGTACCAATGAGCAGAGAGCGCAGTGGCTCTGGTGGACGCAGAACAGGTGGAAGTTCAACAACCCCATAGCCACAGCAAATTGAATAGCAATACGTGCCATCAACATTCTGTCGACGGGTTTCCCAAGACCAAACCCGAGCACCGCATGCACTGCATGTTGCGTTCATTGGTGGCAACACATGACGGTGAGCGTGAGGAGATGCGGCGTCCTCAACAATATCCTGCCCAGCAATAGTTGTTTCCTCGAATTGGTCCTGATATCCAAGTGGCCTAGTAGCATTCCTTTCTAGACGGGGTCTGCCTGCACCACGACGACGTGTTCTGGGCCTGCCAAAGCCTTCACGCAAATCAATAGTAGCAAATAAATTGCCAGAGGCATCTTCTTGATGCTAAAGTATCATTATATAATGTTCAGTATCATGAATCAGCTTCACGGCGTTTACGATATCCAGTGGTCTCAATAACTCACAGTGTTGGTAGGAGCAGTGATAGTTTGTCCTTGCGGTGTGGTTTCAGCAGCGTTGTTACTCATTTACGTATAAAAACGAATGGCGGGAAGAAAGAATGCAAAAATAATCTCCTCTCATTCTAGCTATCAAGATGACAGTAAAGTGATCATGTCATCTTTTTCCTAAAGTAGATGTGGTGCTACATTGCCAGGGTATTTATGCTCTATATATCTGAGTGAGCTTTCTTTTGTGCACTCCGAACAGAGTGAGTGCAAATATAACTTATCCGATCTGACAACTTTCTTCTTTCAAACTTCCCATCATGCCCAACACTCGAAGTACTCAGCCCAATCATCAGACAGAAGGTTTGGAGCAAATGCTCTATCGAAAGCGCAAAAGCAAGAGTGCTAGCAGAAATGCAAAGCGTCAGGTACTCTAAGAAACCACGTTTTTATAATAACTCATATATAGCGCGTTAGTTAACTTTGCTTTCAAAAACAGAAAAACAGCGATGATGAGTTTGAGTTGACTCAGGAGGATATCGAGCTCATGGAAGCTTGTGAGCATTTGCTTGGTAACTTAATCCTATTTGCTAAGATATATATGTATGCATGAACTCATTCAAGGATAAGATCTCCAGTCCTCACAGAGACAGCTTGAACAGGCAGACTCGCAAATAGACACTATCCCGTCAGATCTTCCTTCTGTACCTTCGCCAGCAGTGTCTTCGCCTCTGCTTTTGATAGAGGAATACCAATCGGTGTCTCCTCCACCACTGTCCCCTGTGCCCTCTCTTGAGGAAGGAATTCAGAAACTGAATTTGCCGCCTGCCCATCGTACGCCACTTAGTTCACCATCGCGTTCTGTAAACCATCCTAATGGCACCACCTCTCGAGGTGTACAGTGCGAATTATTAAAATAAATTGCAAACTGTTCACATGTAACAAAGACTCAAGCTGTGTAATGATTTAAAAATTGATCGCGTGAAGAGGAAGGGGGACGGAAAGCTCTGCTCGCTGTTCGGAGACAAACCACTGCTAAAAATCGATTCCAAAAAAGGAAGGACTTTCATTATTAATTTTTGAAGATTGTCTATTATATTAGAGATACTCAATCAGTTCAGATCTTCCTTTTTTTCTTTTACGCTGTTAGATAGGATGGACTCTACGTACGCAGTAACTTCTGCCATTCTCGCGAGCAGAGGTCAAACGTGTGGATCGATTCAGTCGTTAGAAACCATAAATCGCTTGACGTTCGAGCATAGTGCATGCCCGCAACGGAAGAAGAATGTGCCGCCTGCATGTCGAAAAACCCAGGATCGAATCGATTTACAATTCGTCGGCGCCCATCTTGTTGCTGCTGCTCGTATGTTGTTATATCGTCGTCGTTGTTGTCACCTTCGACCGTGTCAATGTCAGGATGGGCAAGCAACTCTTCTGTTGTTTCCAACAGATGAGTTCCTTGTTGGAGGTGGTGGCGCATGAAGAAGGTGGCGACATGGCGATAGGCTTGAAGCCCGAGACCGGCACCCATATGGCTTTGGGTGTACTATGAATTAAGCACTCAAACAACAGCCAAAAAAAAACCTTTGAAATATACACATACCGTTCGAACGGGCGCACCAGTACAAGGTACATCAGGACAATCTCGCTTAGCTCCTTGTTGAGGAAGCGTGCGACATAACGATCGGCAGTGCCTCTCGAACGACGCTTGTAGTAGTACTGAACCAGCATGACCTTTTGTCGGTACCAGTACATGCCACGTTTGGCCCCACGCGCGGACGAACGAATTGTCGTGCATGCGAGCTCCTCACCTCGCGCCGGTTGTCCACTTGTAATGTGAGCCAGAACCATGATCATGAGGATCAATTTGCGACATTGGGACAGCCACTCGTACAGAGCGGCGAGATTCCACAAGAGCTCGCCGCTTTCGGTCACGCTTGCAATAAATTCGTCACTGTGTTGCACTGCCAGGTGCCTGAACAAGACCTTGAGGTAGTCGTCGTTCGCTGTTGGGTTGCCGGGTCTGGTGAAGAATGCGATGGAGGGATTGGCTGTCCTGGTATCGGCCATTATTTCATGGAAGCGATCACAGAAAGGCTCCTGCAAGGTATAGCCGCGCAATACATGGTCTTGTAGTTGCGTGCGACAGTCGACGAGGAGGCGGCCGACACCAACCTGGATATTGGTCAAATCAACGCTTGTTGTCCGGTAGCGGATGGTCCTGAGGTCATCGCTGTCGATGTAAATGGAAGGCTCGACAGCTTGATCGCCTGATGCCAAGGTTGCGGTACGCATGGTTTCGGTGAGCATGTTCATTACGGTAGGTTCGCCATCATTGAGCCAGTACAAAACTTCCCGTGCGTCCTCACTAGCAAGTCAAACAGTTGTAGATATAAGAATTGGGCAGGTACAAGTATATACGCATATGTAATGGAACGATACTCACCGACTGATCGTACGATCAGCATCTCGGAAGGCTGGATCATTGAGTGCTTCAACATTTTCATATTCATCAGCAAACTCGTCATAGGCAAGTTGGGGCATGGTAAAGGTATCAGAGTCCATGGTCACAGCAGAAAGAATAGATTGGGATAAAAAATTGGGGGATAACTGACTGACAAAATCTTTGTGCATGAGGGGTATTAGTATTCTGTCAGTTTATGTGGTCCTAGAATCATCGCCACATGCTTATAGAGAAGCGGGTAATATGAGAAAATGATGGCGCCACCATTGCTGCCGTTTTTGTGAATATGAAGCTCGTGTAAATGCATTGACTTGATGTCAACTTTGATCCGAATAATAAAAAAACACATGCCTGTTGGTAGTAGTGGATGCAGAGAGGACTTTCAGAAGTATTTAAAGAAAGAATTTCATTGAATGCTGCTACCCTGAAAATGGTGGAACGGGAAGTGACTCGAAAAGGAAAGAAAAAAAAAGTGGCACGCTGTTGAGAAAGATAAGCGAGGCACACGTGGCACACGATTTATTTTAAGCAAAAGCACAGTTCCTGCCTATAGTGTGTGATCGTCACTGGCATTGCAGCGTAAAGACCGAAAAAAAAAAAGAACATCCCACGTGGTAGCCACTTTCATATGAAAGCGCACAGGCGCTGGAAGACACGTTGCTTTATTGTTAAGGGAAATCTAAAATTAGCAATTGAGCAAGACAATAGGATCTACCGGGATTTTCCTTAAAAAACCACCACACGTGGCCGCCACACTGCAAAAGTGCTTAGGCAATAATGGACACGTTGATCTGATTTTTTGGTAAGCGCGTTAAACCAGACGATCTTTACCGAGAAACCCTTTTCCGTATACTCGTTACAACACACGTGGCAGCCACCTTCACACATGAAAGCAAACGGGTAAAGAAAGACACGTTGCGTGGATTCTCATGAAGTATCTAAGATTAGCAATGCAGCCATGACAACGGTATCTATGAAGAAGCTATGTTCAGTATATTTTTTTAACATGTGGTTACCACCTTCAGACATGAAAGCAAATGGGTAACAAAAGGCACGTTGCTTGGATTCGCGAGAATCATCTTAAATTAGCAATGCAGCCATCCCAACGATCACCGTCAAGAAGCTTTGTGCAGTATAATTTCCACAACACATGTGGTTGCTATGCCTTAATAATAGAGTGCACAGGAATAAGCCGCGTTACATACAGATATGCTATTTAAAATAGTATGTAGTGTAATGCTCTGAATCGTTATATTTGCTACTGGTATAACAACTCTTTGTCTTTTTCACCACACATCCTCCTTTGGCTCTATTCTTTTGTTATTAGTCACTTTTATTATTCTTCATCATGTCATCCCGTCATCGGCGAACGAGACGTACAAATGCCCCGGAAGAAGACTGCAACTGCCCAAACATATCACCGGCGGAAATGAACACCCACAGGAAGCAATATCATCAACAGCAAGTAACACTTACATTTCGCGATGGCTGTAAGTCGGTTTTGTGCCAATGTCAATTGTTTATTGGTGAGCATATATCACGCATAAAGTTTTACTAAGACATAATTATTATGCAGCCAAACTCGATGTTGTGGTGGAACGGATCTCTCCCCCGGACCAAGTATTTGTGACATGCCCAGAGTGTACAAGACGCTTGCGCATCATGTCTGTGCATACCCATTTCCGAAGATTCTGCCAAAAACGCCTTGATCCTGCCACCGTTGCTCATCTTCCAAAATATAATCCTCCACCTTCTTCGACGATGCATCCAACTACAACACAGCAGCGTGGCGAGCCGCGTTTGCAGGAAACTCGCTCCATGTCACCACGGCAAACAGTTACATCAAGACGTGAAATGCCACGCAACCGCACGCCAGTTCAGCCTCCTTCGCCATCACCCATGTTGAATCCGTCACCACCATTGCCCTCATCGCCTTCTTCTTCTTTGATGTCATTGCTTCCACCATCCCAAGGTGCTTTAACATTATCAGATGAACAGCAACAGCAATCCCAACAGCAGGAAGACGCAACGGAAATCGACTAACAAGAGCCGACCGTGGACCAAGGTAAGATCATGGCGATAAAATCATTTACGTGCACATGCATGAGTAAAAGTGCTAATAATGTGTGTGTGTGTGGTTTTTTTTTTTTTTAATTTCAGAGCGTGCCAACCTGATTACTCGTTTGGGTCTCACCATCGATGAGAGTAGCGGACTCCTTTTTTGCTCGAATGGTTGCCGTGATCGCCAATACGTATTTGTCAAGACGGATGAAGCATACCAGCATATCATCACAGCCCATCGTGCACTACGACGGCATGTAGAAGCGGTTTCTGAGCACGAATTTACTGAACTTTTATATCGCCTTGGTTCCCAACGTTCTGATGTAACCGACCGATACTCTGTTGCCGCTTCTCGTGTCAGGGATATGATTCCTCGTGTCAATCTACTCGACCCACCTGTGCCAGGATATAGATGCAATGATTGTCCTAGCTATTTCCAGGAGTACACATCATGTCGATCCCATCGTTCTACTCATCACGGTGATAGTGATGTGACGCTCAATGCGTTGTTTGCAAGATGTATGGTGCAAAGACTCGGTCCAAGCCAGAATATGCCATATTTCGGTGTTATATCGGATGATATGAACATTGACGCCAGCAACCGGGACGTGGCGCAAGGGTAGCAGAGACTTACTAATACTATAGAACGGTGTTTGCTTCAGCACGAGGGTATCATGAAGCATTATGGTGTGCAGAACTTGGACCGCCCGGCACATTTGGCAGAGCGTCGCGCTATTGGCCGTTTTCACGAAACTATGCGCTGGGACATGCTGGTGAGAAGAGTTTTGACCGAAGAAGATACGACCGATAGCCGCTCCCGACTTGCTAGTTGGATATCTCTTCCTGAAGTATCGAACAAGATTGGCCTCTCCATTGTCGCTGCTGTGACGAAGTACATGAAAGTTGTTGACAAAGCAACTCGTGGTGCGTCATATTATCTTGAGCGTCGCATGGTGATGGGACTAAGGTGTGTATTACACAATATAATGAGGGAAGAAGTAAGAATACAACAAACACATTTATTTATGGTGCTCTTTGTTTTTAAAATCATTAGTGTCGATGATGTCCCAACCCGTGGTCTGACTGAGCTGCTCCAGCAATCCCATGGAAGGACGTACAATGGTCGATGTGAACTAGGTAAGACGTTTATTTTAATTAAAAGTTAGACGACGATGTTGTAGTGAAAGAATTCAAGGAGGTGTATGCCGAGTACAGTTTCATTATTACATTCACAAAGGACACTGTTGACGCTGTAAGTCGTAAATGGGGTGGGAAATATGGAAAAAAAGTCAATGGAGCTGATGGTTTTTGTTTCTATTAACCTAAAGCCTAGTGACCTTGCCATCCCGCGGTGGTGACATTCTTATTAAGTACTCACATTGAATTTCGCTCTTTCTTTTAATCTGATATTTCTTTAGAACAACAGCAACTTTCTGGTACGATCTATTGGAGTTCCGACTTCGTTCATCCATGGATAACTATGTGATTGCTGATATAGAGCCAATGGAGGATGTGGGTATCGGGAGAAGCTCCAAATCAGGGCGTCTTACGGACGATATGATGAAGAATGTCAGTATTTGGCTTCGAGATAGGTAGAGTGAGTCGAGTTAACAAACCGTTGGACCCTTGTTGACGTAGTGGGATTGTGTGCTAATTCATAGGGGTGAAAACGCAAAAGGAAGCCAGAAAACTTCCTTGGAGAGAATCCAAGCGAATTGCTAACGATGCTGGGCTCATGGCTTACTATTATGATCACAAGATGAAGAAGCATAAATCTTGTGCTATGTATTTTTTGCTCTGTTCCCTTTACTTTTATCTTTTTACTTTTTGGTTTCGATGCGAACGTATATGTTTACAAAGAAGTTAGATAATTTTTTGTATGATAGACAACAAGGGTTAGGAGAGAGAGGGTGGGAAGAAAAGCTATGGCAATGAATATGAAAGTATACTATGGCATGGTAACCGCTCTTCGTTTGTTGGATCTTGAAGGAGATATCATATTAAATTGTTCGTCCGGCAAAGATGGACGACGTTTCGTATACATCATAGTATTTTCGTTTGGTTTCATGGGCACGCACCACTTTCTAAAACAATGCAATATGGCTATAAGATCATCGAAATAGCTTGGAAAAGCACCAAGATGTTCAATGGAATTTGGGATAGTAATAGCGGCAATTTCGGTACATACATAAAAACCATCAGCTTCAAGTTTGTTTAACAGAATATTCGCCTTATGATCTAAAAAGTTATACCTAAATTAGTGAAAGTTTCAGTGGTTTCTATGTCTGAATATAAATAAGAGAACTTACTCACTAGTTGAATGCTTAAAGAAGCTTTCAATCCAGACGCATCCAAAGAGTTTTTTGTTAATAAGCACAATCGAATCAAATCTTTTGATATGCCATATTGGTTTCCAGCTTCTGAAGCTGGTTTCACTTCAACATATCCCAGTGAGTGACCAAAATGAAGGCCATTCATCTCTGTTACACAAGAATCCGGCCGCTGATTTGAAATGGAGGCTTTTGATGGTGTTTCTTTAGCCTCTTGATTTGTAGTGCTCGTCCTAAGAAACAAACACCATATGTAAGTAATACGCACAGAATTTCAAGCTTGTCTTATCACTCACCACCTGAACAAGACACCATTATCAGGTTCGTCAAATAATGCGGATAAAAAGGGATCAATAAATCGATGACATAGTTCGGTTTCTTTGATCTCGGCGCAATTTCTTGGTAGGGGAGTTTATCAATGCTAAAAGAATGTAGGAAGTTCCTATAAATATATATCTCATTTTCCATTGGTATACAAAAAATAAATATACTTACAAGTTCACCACGCTTTTTGTGATGATAGAGCTTTAATAAAGATAATAAGGGACAAGATTAAGTATCTTTGAGATCATGTTTTATTCCAACAAAAGATAAAGCTCTTTTATATTCTAGCTATTAAGACGGCGATATCAATTCATCCGACTAATGGATAAACTATGTGATAGAGGATGGATCAAGGACGTATCAGAACTTCTATTGAAGTTGCTATGTTAATCGGGCACATCTTTGAAACCGGCGTTAGCTGATGTAATGGCCGAGGCACCTGTTGATAGGTTCATTGTCCTGTTCACGTAAGGTGGATCATCTGAGTGAGAGATTTTATTCAATAGTGTTTAGCCGAAATGCCGTAGTGTTCATACGTGTGTGCTATAATGTTTAACCGAATATCTTATTGTTGATATCTTAAGCAGTGTATTAATGTGGTTCACCACATCACCCCCTTCCAGGTTAAACATTATTTTGTGAAGAATGTGCTTAGCAACGTGTGCGTAAACGCTTACTGCGTCTAGTAGATGGTGTAGGTGTGGAACCCTCTTAACGTTTGGAATTACAGTGAACCCCCGCTTTTTGCAACAGCGGGAATACCGTCAAAAAAGTTGCAAAATCTGAGGATCTGCAAAATGTGAATATGTTACACAAGTGGGATCGATAAGCTGGCAAAGTGTAATTAGTATACACCAATTAAAAGAGTGCGGTCCATCATTATAGCTCAGTGATAATATCTACGTATAGCCTAGCTTCTTTTTGCAATCATTACTTCTTCTCTTCTATTCAACTTCTTTTTCATCATGGGCAAAGCCAAATATGAGAAGCTCACTGACGAGCAAAATGACATCATCTACAACTATTACATCCAAAAGGAGAAAGCTAAAGTCAAGATCAGTTTCAAGGATCTAGTTGCTTGGGCTAAAATTGAGTTGAACCTCGAAAATATGCCTCATGTGACGACGATTACAAGAATGATCCAGGGTCGAAAGCAAGACGAACAAAATGGCATCGATCGTCACAGAAAAAAGAAAGACCGAGCAAAGTTTCCAGTATGTGTTCCTATTTGCTTCCAGGTGTATTTTACGACAGAAATAGTAATAAAACAAACTATAATAGCAACTTGAACATGCATTGTACATGTGGATCGAGCAGCGCTACCATGAGCGCTCTCCAATTAACTGGAGATTGATCATTCGTGCCGGAAAAGAATTTGCACAGGATATGGGCATTTCTGAGGAACAATTTTGCTTTTCCAATGGATGGGAGAACAGATTCCAGCGTCGTTACCAGCTGAAGGTGCATAAGGTACACGGTGAGGCTTCATCTGCAGATGTTAGCCTAGCTGCTGCCAAACTTCCGGAAGTCCAAGCAAAATGTGCACAGTATGCTCTCAAGGACATTTACAACATGGATGAAACAGCAGTATTCTACTCAAGTGCCCCAACTACTACCATTGCTCCTGCATCCTTCAAGGGCGTTAAGTTGGATAAAACGCGGTTGACACTTGTGTTAACGACCAATGCAGACGGCTCTGACAAATGGTATAACTATCAAGGGGCATATTGGATAATAGAATTTGAGAATCATCCTTTGATCTAGTAGAGTGTTAACCACGATAGTTAAATGATATAATATACAAGCAGCTAATAATATTACTTACTACAGGTTTCCATGGTTTATCGGCAAATCCCAAAATCCAGCATACTTTAAGAAGGTACTTCATCATTATATCCAATAGGTGCATATTTGCTTACATAGTGTTTGTTTGTCTGGTAGAGAGGAAAGGATGGTTATCCAAACATTAGCGTGATGAATTATCGAGCAAATGCCAACGCATGGATGACGCGTGAGATTTTCTATGATTATCTCAAAAAACTAGATAACTCAATGAGGCATCAAAAACGCAAGATCCTTTTGCTGCTGGATAACTTTTCTGGGCACTTTTGTGATTACGAGCCAACCAACGTTGAGCTTTTATATTTGCCACCCAACACGACGTCGATAATGCAGTAATTGGATGCTGGTATAATCAGTAGCTTCAAGGTGCATTTCAAGTATGTACAAGAATAAGATCTCATGCATATCATGTAAGGAGAGGTGATTATTTGTATACTAAAGCAGTTAACTTCAGGAATAAGCAATATGAAAAGGCTTACGAGAAAATCAAGTACCGTTTGGAGCAAGGTCTACCAGCAAATGATGGCAAAGTTTTCCGTGTGGAAATCATTTTTGGTATGGCTTGGTGTCTTGAGGCTTGGTATAAAGACGTTAAGCCTTCTACAATCGCAAATTGCTTTAAGAAGACAAAGGTGGTAGAGGGTGCAACTAACAGCATTAGCAATGGATCCGGTTGTGAAGATGAAGTAGCCCTAGGTCAGATCAATGATCATTTGAGCCATATATATGGGAGCCATGATCTTCAAAACTTCACTTTTGATGCCGATCCACCTGAGGAAGTAGCAGCTGTTCATCCAGTGCTAACCAATGATGAAATTCTTAAAGCTGTGCTTGATGAAGCAGTTGTAGATGCAAATTCGATTGCTGAAGCTGCTAATGATTCTAGAGAGCCTTCTAATGATGCTCCATGTCAATCTCCAAAGTACACAAATCAGGAGAAGGCTCGGATGGTGGAAAAAGTCATCGAGATTCTGATTGATCCAGAACATCAAGAGATCAAAGATCAGCTTCGAAAAATTCGTGACAATTTTCGTAGAAAAAGTCAGTCAAAGCAATCAGCAATCACAACTTTCTTTATTTAGTTTAAAACCTCTCATATAATAGAATATATTAGTGTATCTCTTTTGTCACTGGTTCGGGTCTCACCGTCTCCGAAGTTTGAGGCTAATAAGGCCGAAGCGGGAAATTGCAGGTCCCGATTTCCGAGTTGCAATCTGCAAAAACTGAGGAAACTGCAATTTTACTAAGTGTTGAGCGGGAATCTGCTCAAAAAAGTTGCAAAAAGCGGGGATCTGCAATAATCGGGGGTGCAAAAAGCGGGGGTTCACTGTAGTTCCTTTTGCTTTACGTTGTGATTGCTGTGGGATATGCGTCACAGGTAATGCAGTTTGTATTTTGCTTTGCTTCGGTGGTGTGATACCAACACGTTCCCAATATTTCATGATTGGTTGTGGACTATTAAATGCTTCTGCTGGTTCCAAGGAATCGTCATCAGGTGTATAATCTTTCCATCTAACCCGGTATTGATATTTGCCTGGTGCAAGCTCTTTGTGGTCTACAATTGACTGTACGGTGTAATATTTACCGTTTTCTTCAAATGCTTCTTCTGTATCAATTAATTCATCCTGTGATAGGAGTTTCATTTGTGAGGGTGCGTAGTTATGAGAAGTTAATAAACCCTGTTCATCTCTAAGGACATAAGAACCACCTTTGGTTTTGCGTACTACAGTATATGGTCCTTCATATCTTGGATCCATCTTCTTACTGCGTAATTCATCAATGACCATGACCGTGCTTCCGATGGGATAATCGGTGATTCTAAACTTGGCATTGTATTTGCCTTTTTTAATATCATCCAGTGCCTTTGCTCTTTCCGAAATTGCAGGAAAGACAATGTTTGTCATTTGTTCAATGCGGTTTTGCAGCTCATCTTCTGTGAGTGGCCGCGGGATCTGTTCTCTGCTATAGTCCCTGAAACCGTTCATTGTTCTATTGAACATAAGAGCAAATGGTGTAGAACCATGTCTATTGGCAACTTTGTTGTTAAGGGCTAATTGTGCTGGTTTGACATATAAGTCCCAGTCTCTAACTGCTCCTTTTGTATACTTGCGGATGATGTTAACAGTTGTTTGCACAAATCTTTCAGCCAATTCCTGAGCTCTTGGGTGAAAAGGCGTAGAAAGTCTTTGGTCGAATCCAGAGGCTTCTCGAAGACGAGTCATTAGTTAGTTTTTGAATTCAGTACCATTATCACTGCTGAGATAACGGCAAAAGCCCACTAAGCAAAATGTGTCGATGACTGCTTGAACGACAGTGTCTGATGTTTTTTCAGGAAGTGCGTGTAAAACACAAAAACGTGTGCATACGTCTACCATGACTAAGAGATAATTGTTTCCGCGATGGCTTGTGCCGAAGCCGCTTGCAAGATCAATTGTCCAATGATCACCCGGATAGAATGCATGAAGAGGTCTTAAAGGGTTATAACCTTTCTTGGTGATGTTGAATCGCTGGCATTCGGGGCAGCTTTTTACAATGTGTGCGGCTTCTTTGTACATATTGTTCCATTTCAAACCATCATTGTGTAGTGCTTTTGTGATAGCTTCAGCGCCAAAGTGACCAAATGCATGTGCTTTTTCGAGTAATTCCAGTATTTCATGTTCGGGTAGTTCAAAATAGATGTCATCATCTATATTGTCAGTGTTATTACTTGTTTGTGTGTTTATTGTGAGAGTCTTATTTTGTACAGTGTTATTATTTGTATGAATTTCCGTAGCACTACCCCCTTCCAGCTCTTTTTCATCGATGTGAAAAAGGCGAGATAATTGATCAGGAAGGATGTTATCTAATCCTAGTAGGTGAATAATTTCAAAGTCGTATTGTAAGATGGTGTCAAACCAACTGATCATCATAGCGTTGGCTATTTTTTGTGTATGGAGGAAGGTCAATGCTTTGTGTTCTGTCGGAAAGAGTAACACCATCAGGCAACAAGGAAACAATCTGTTCAGCCCGAAGAGCAGGATCCCTACGGATAATGGTATCAACAAATGGTTGGAGTCTTATCAAAAGGTCTGCGGCAATTGCTCCGGAATTAACAACGAGTTGGCTTTGTTCAATTGCTGCTAACAGGATATGCTGGTTTGGGGTCAATTGGGTCATTTGCTGCGCATCTTAAAGTAGGTTCACAGCTCTAAGGCCGTTCATGACCTCAGTAGCAGAGACATCCTAGTTCGAACTTTCAATACCAGAACCGGTTACTGTTAAAGAAACCCTTGAGTCTAACCGCATTCTTTGCGCGACGACAGCAAGACTGGTTGCTCGGACACCTCTTGAATTGGTATAATTATCCACTCGAAGTCGGCCTTGGACAATAATAGAGGTACCTTCAGATATGTCATTTTCCATAAGGAACCGCAGAAGCCTAGGCAGACCAACATTAACTCGAAAATAGACACGATTAGCATAAACTGAAACTACAGCAGAAGGCTGGTCAACCATAGTATCATCAACCATCCTTTGCCTATTTCTAAAGACTGGATCCCTGGAGACAACGCCTTAGATTACGCAAGTTACAACCATTTGCTCTATAAAACAAAACCAAGATTAAGGATTGCCATACTTCAATGCAAGGAGCCTTGGAAAAAATCATATACAACAATTAGATGATATACATACTAGAGTTCTTTGGTAATGTAATAACAGTATTGAAGAATACGCTTTACAGGGTTGCGATCAACGGCTATTTATATACAAAACCTGAGCGCAAGGCCATTGACTAATTATTTATTTTAGATTTGCTATTCAGGGACTACTGATATCGTTGTTGCCGGATTTGCCATCTAGAGGATATCAAGGCCAAACCTTTGTTCTTATCAAACAAACAAGCCATCATAATCGAAATCCAGTCAACACAAAGGACAAATTTTTGTCCTTGGAAAGCAGGAGCAACCATTGATTTGCTGGAAACACCAAAGGTCTACTTTTTGTCCTCAGTTGGATGTTCACCATTCGCTTATCAGATAAGCTGATTTTTTTATGGAAGCTAAGCAAAGTTTTGTGCATGGGAAAAAAACAACTCTAAATTTTTGTCCTGTGGAAAATAAGGAGGACAATTTTTTGTCCTGTAGAAAATAAGCAGGACAATTTTTTGTCCTGTGGAAAATAAGCAGGACACTTTTTTGTCCTCTTTCAAAAATAACAGTCCGGTTTTTTGTGTTTTGTAGGACAAACGATGAACTCTAACGTCAGGCCTCGTTTATAAAAAGGGGTCATTGAGGTAAGCCTTTATTCTTCATTCTATCAGATTGACTTGTTTTTTTTTTCCTTTGCCATTAACAATGAACACCCCTTCGCCTTCTCACGATTACTTCCAACAACAGCCTAACAACAACAACAACAACAACAACTCGTTTGTGCAGTCTCTGCAATCGTCTGGTATTGTTTGCTTGGTTTTATTATTTATGTACTTGAAATTTTGAAGCAGCTCAGGCTGAATCCTTGTACTTCTTTTTATTTTTTTATTAGATAACAAGACTTTCATTGATGCCATCACTGACGAGATTAATAGACGCGGCATCCGTCTTTTTCAAGACCGTGAAGACCATTTATTACGTCTTGGTTTTGAGATGGACGTCATTAGTCAAAATGGCCAGCCATCAGTTATGGTTGCTGATCATGCCATCCAACTGGATGAGGGTTTTGTGGTATGTATAATTCTGTTTTCTTCATTCTCATTGCCTTTTTCTTTATAAGAAAACATTGTAGTAAATGACAGTTTGCATATAAATTATTTTGTAGTTTCCTGAGGAGATCCCAGTTTCTCCTTCCAGCGTTCTGGAAGAACCTTTGGCTCCTGGCTCACCTGAGCTAACCCCTACCAGTCCTGGTGCCATTCCTTCTGTTGGGCCCTCTTCTGGGCAAGTTCGCCGCCGCTCTTCCCCTTCAGACAGGTCTGAAGGCACAGCTGCCAAAAGACAGGTACCTATTTATCTTTTACAATCCATATGTTGGTCATTATTCAAAACCTGACTTTTGCCAATGATCCAATTGTTATAGAAGCTGTTTGATCCTGCAGCTTATGTCAACGGCCTGTTTGAAGGGGTTGACATCTCTAATTCAATTGGAATGACTATCAAGTCATTCCATATGCAACGTTTGTCTCCTGCGTCCCTGGTGTGTCCTTTGCCTCCTATCTCTTTGGAACAAGGGTTGGCATTCTTCCAAAATGATGGCGTTAAGACCATGTTCCTAGGCCGCCGAAAATTTAAGCTTATGGAACATGTCTTTTACATCAACGTCTTCATTATTGGAAGAATGCTTGTACGAGAACGCCAAGTAAACTCGTACAAGCACTTTCTCCAGCATTTGATTTCTGGTAACCTTTTTACTAATTTACATAGAAAACTGTTTATTAACTGTTCATTTTTTTTATAGATCCTGCCATCTGGCCTGCTGGGGAAAGTGCCAACCTGAAGTACTTGGTCCAAAAGCTAAAAGGAGCCAATAGATTGTTGCACTTGGTTAAGGAAGTAGGAAGGCCAATGATCCTACTTCCTAACGAAGTCAACATCATTGAGCTGATCAATGTAAGTTTCAGAGGCCTTCTTCTTTTGCTTATGAACAATCATATAGGGAAAGCTGACAACGTTTTTATTAGATGCCGACGCCATCTTTCATGCTCCTTGTCCAAGAGCTCAAGACAAGGCGCATTTTCCGTCTGCTGCACCCCCAAGTAGCTGAATCCTTAGGGGAAGTCCAGGGCTTCTTATCATCATTAGAAGCCCTGGCAGATTTCATTGACCAGAGCTTTTTATAAGCTCTTGTTCATCCATCCTCTCCTTTCTTTTTGCTTTTCCTTGTCCTCTCCTTTCTTATTCCTTCCTTATGTTTGCTCACCCTTTTCATTCTTTCATCATGCTGCATTGATCCCTTTGTTTACCTTCATATTGCTCCATTCCTTTTCTTATCATATCATAAAAACCGCCTATGCCTGCCTCTTTTTCTGTTCTTCTATATGCTTCTCTATTATTATATGCCCTCCTTTGTTTGTATTATGTTGATCTCTTTGTATATGTGCCTTTCTTTCTTTTTTGTTCTTTTTCATGTTCATGGCTATGCCCCTTTCTTTTTTTTTCATTTCAAAAAAGTATATATACAATAAATATGTTTATGTCTTATGCCTGTTATCTCATCTTCAAAAATGCCTTTGACACACACTGAAAAAACCGTTTTCTTCAAGTATGATGGATTGACGTTTGAAGGAAATCGATTGACAATGATAAGAGGATTTGTGGTTGAACAAGAGTGAGTAATCAGATGCGTTAATATCTTTGGGTTCGGGATTGAAAAAGAGTGATGCGGTCTCAATACAAAGCATCATTTGGGATTCGAAAGCATAAAGTAAACAGCATTGGCTAGCTATTGTCAAATAGCCGTTTGTGAAAAAGCATCATGAGTATATTGATTCTGCTTACTGTTCTTTTTTGTAGACGCGCAAAAAAGTTTCAAGGAACCGTTGGTCCTCTTTTACAGCATATGAACGCAATGCAAAACGTTGAACGCGACAAAACATACAAGGCTGTCATTTCTGGACAGCTTTCGGAGATAAATACTGTTTGCGGATGTCAATGATTGGCATTCTATCAGTACAATAAAAGCAACGATTACATCGATACAAGAGCCACAAGAAGAAACAGATCTTCCGATTGCAATAGCAAATCGATTTGCAACTGTCAGTGCGTCTAGCATTACAGATTCTGGTTTTGAAAACCATGAGGTAACAATAACCGATCTACATTTCCGTATGGCTGGTGGAGCAACAATGATAAGACGACGGCCAAGAGAAGAAGATGAAAATAATAATCGGCAAGACAAACGAAGACAAATTGATGATGAAAACGACACGATATTGTCAAATGGCATAGATGAGGAGCAGCATGAGAACGTTGTAGAAGATGAGGACATCTATGAAGAGCGCAATGATTACATTTACAATATTTAATGGTAATAAAGTAAAACCTTCGGGCCTCCTTTCAGTCTGGCTGAAAAAGTGAAGAGCATAACCCAAATTAATCTGGGATGCTAACAGCTTCTTTTCTGCTTTGCTTTGTCAACAGTACATATAAGAGAGGATGTGATGAAACAAATTTTTCAATTATTATTGGGCATAACGATCTCTGAGGGTACGAATAAAATTGCGACAAAGGGAATTGACAGGATTACAACGTTTAACAGTATTGAGGGGATCTCCATCTGGTAAAACAAGCAAAACGTCACTGAAAGATTTAACTCTTGTTAAAGCAACGTACAAAAATCCGTGTGCAAAGAATTCTCCGAGGAAAACGGCAACTTTTGGAAGAGTAAGACTTTGAACCTTTTGGATCGTCAGAGCATAAGCCAATGTCAATGGGAATTGCGTTCGTTCATAACCAGTAAAAGGGATATCACGAGTTATTCGAAAAACAGGAAGCGTTTCTTCAGGGTTGAATATTTTCTGTATAGTAATCATGTCATCTGACAAGGAATGAATTTTGCATAATGTACCATTGACCCATCCGTTTTCAACGCTTATGTTTTCCAAAAGCATAACCTGTGCATCAACCTTTACATCAAGGACCTATAAAGAATTCATTCATTAGAACGGTCATTGTCTATTTCAAAATAACACATGTGTTTACGTTTATCTATAGCTAATGAAACAATGATTCAAAAGAATTATGAAGCCTTTCACTTACAGCTGGCAAATACGTTTTCTCCAAAGCATTCATGGCTACCTGTCCCATTCCATCTCGCTTATCAAGAGAACGATATGATTGCAATTGACCAGGGCATCGCCTAAGTTTTTCAGTGTTGAAATTCTTTACCGCATCATTTGTTGGAGCAACCATAACGGTTCCTAATGGTACTTCATTCAAAGAAATTGTCCTACTTGAAAGAAGATCATAATCAGTAGGAACTTGCAATTCATCCAAACGCAAACGCTCTAGAAATCTGAGAAACGTCAAATCCGTTTGTCTGCAAGGATCAACAAGCTGTGTGATTTGCGTTTCTTTGAAAAATTCGGATCGGAAAAGAGGAGTACTGTTGTCACCAAAAGGCATGATTTGTGCAAAGTCACCAAACAGACAAACAGGAATACCTCCCCATGGCAAATTACGCTTCGTTCCTATGCGCATTGCTCTATCAAGATCATCCATCATTTCCGCTGGGATCATGCTTATTTCATCTGTCAAAAAAACAGATCGAGGATTTTCTTTAACAAACTCATCGATACGAATGTGATTCACCTTCTGTTCTATATGCGAAATGCCAAAGAATCGATGGATCGTCATTCCTTTGATCGTATGTGCTGCTACACCCATAAAAGCAAGCCTGACAACTCGATATCGCAATGCAGCAAAGAACATTGCAATTGTTTCCAGTACAAAACTTTTCCCAGTACCAGCACTGCCGTGAATCAACGTCGGAATGCAATCGTCCATATTTTCTAATGCAAAACTATAAGCATCATACTGAGAGTTAGTAAATTGATCCATTCTTTGTGATGTTTGCCTTCTTAGCTCATCCAAATCAACTCCATCAGTATGATTCCATTGATTAATCGCGTTTAAGTTGGCATCCTCTGCCAATCTTGCCAAAGCATCTAGAGCTGCACCCTCTGCTGTACTTGATGTCAAAGGAGAAAGCTTGCCGATCGAAACAAGATGGTCATGACATCCTATAGATCAAAAACATTAGCGTCAATGCCAACTGCATAAACAGGACAACACGAATATGTTGACCATTGTTATAACAGAAACCAGCTAGAATTACCCTCCGTGGCGAGCATTACAGTCAGCGATAGAGGCTTGTGGTTTAGTGTTTTTTAGTCGAACCACAAAACCGCAAACCGCATAGGTTCGGATGTTGAATGATCAAAATTAAATTGTCTCAGCCCACGGTTGATAGACCAATAGCCTTATTTTACACTCTTCATCTCGATGCTTCCAATCGACGACATCACTCTAATCCCTTTCTACTCCTATGCACTTTCGATTATTTCGAAGGCGGAGTACAACAGGGACGAATACGAAAAACGTTTTCTGGAAACAGACGAACATGTGGTGCGATTCCTTGAAAATTGCGCGGAGGAAGATATGGAGCGTGCGCTCATTAACGAAATTGCTCGCTTAAGATCTCTTCGCCCTGACGTCGAACCCGGATTGAGCAACAGCTCCATCCGTGTCCCTGAGGTTGACACAGGAGACAATCTTGCCGAACTGAACACGGCAATGAAAGCTGAACTGGCAGCAATGGAGAGCGAGCTGCTTGAGCATTGGAAGACCCGTCGTGCTGAAATAGCTCGAAAGCACGGGTATGAAGTGAAGTCCTTGGCTCCTGCGAAGCTACCATTTCTTCGCAAGAATACCGGAAAGGTTACCGGCTTTAATGTCTTCCAAAAAGAACTCTACTGCGAACAAGGTTGCTAGTATTTCAACGAATTTGTCGTTCAATTATTCGAATATAGCTAATTACACCTATGAACTATTACTAGATCGTAAGCGATACAAAGAGGATCGTACCCAAATGGGTAACATAATGAAAGAAAAGGCTTTGATGTGGAAGACACTGTCCTGGAAGGATAAGACTTTCTACAAACAAAAGGCCGAGCTTCGTAACAAGCAGCTTTCTGTTTCGGATCAGCAAAAGAGGGAAAACAGATTTTTGAAGCTTTCAAATCTCCTCCACCGTAATTTGACCATGCTTCAAGAAGAGTGCGGTGTGGAAAGCATTTGTTTTGTTGCACCAAATGACATCAACACATCTATTTATCCAGATCGAGATGGATATGGCTCCGGTAATATTCTATTTTCACGTTACAAAACTACGTTGCAATGTTTTGAACTGCTTTCTAATGAACAAAACATAGATGGTGGAAATCACTTTTGGAAGCTGTTGTGAGTAGGTGCAGTTGATTTGAATGGACAAACATTCAGCCTTCATTTCAAAAAAGAGATGCTCCAATACAACAAACAACTCAGTAAGCTCAAAATTTGTTTCACTGCTTTTATGGTGTTCGAAATATATGTATACTGATTTCATTGCAGTCGACAACACTTCTGTTGAACCACCTTCTTCCTCCTCCTCCGTCTCCTCCTCTTCATCCGTCGCCACGCGCGTTCCTCCACCGCCATCCTCCACCGCCTATGAAACGCATACTGCGATGTCCCCAGCAACACTTCAGCATGGTGAAGAGCAAAACCTGAGGAAATTGATCTTAAACAAGTATAGTAAGTAGCTTGTAATAACAAGAAGTGCTGATGGTTATGGAGTTTTCGGCGTATAGGTACAATTTCTAATGATGTTCACGTTAGGACAAGCGGTTCTGGAAAATTACCAAAAGGTGATCGCTGAAGGAGCAAGAATGCCATGGCATGACAAACAAATGTATGCCGATATTGTCATGCTAGGCTGGCCTGAGGGTACCGAACGCAATCACCCTAGCTGTTTACTTCAGCATGAACGAGCTGAAATAGAGAGACGATTGGTTTCCAGTGAAATTAGATTTGTAAAGGCGTCACAGCAACAACAGCAACAAGATGAATAAGCCTTTTTCTTTTTCTTTGCCTTTTTTCCATTTTCTTTGCCTTCTTTTTTCTTCAAAAAATATGCTTGACTGACAGGAAGTTAGGTCCACTTTAACTAGTATAATTTTGCACTGCTGAAAGCACTTTGTTTGGGGCTGATGGCTAGTTTGGTAAGTTTGCAATGTAGCTACATATAGCCACCAAGCAATGATTCTAGGAGTATCTGATACATTTTTTTTAAGTATACAATCTTTGACGTTTAATCCTAAACATCCCCACATTTTTTTTTGTAAGTACTTGGCCATGATCTACTTATATGACGTTTTGCTACATCCTATTTGCATGCTGTACGTAGTAGTTTTCGTAAGGATGTATATATAAGCATTAGTAGGCAAAAGCTACTCATTATTAGTACTTACTTTTTTCTTCGACAATACATAGTAGAATCTCGCTCGTCAACATTAACAACTGTAGTTTCAACTTGTGCTAATATCATATCATGTAAGACAAAGTGTTGGGGTCCATGTCCTCAAGGATTGAAACAAGGTTTTTTTTCATGATTTCAAGTCAATCTAAATAAGATAGTAGTACAGCATAATTCCACCAATTACACTAATACACACGTATGGTATCTCTTCGAAAAGCTTACTTTTTTCCATGCCATTTTTAGGTACAAAGAATGAAACTACCAGCTCTTGATGAAGCCGTCTCGTTTGTATCGAGATCCAATAGTTAATTTCAATCCAAATGATACTATAATGCTATTGATTACAGTATGCATGTATGTACCGCCTATATCTTCTCTCATTTTTATAGCCGTCCTTCCAGAGCATGTCAATGGCTTGCGTCGGTTCCTTGACAATGACTCTGCCTACTTTCGTTCCCTTGAACAGGGCCTTGCTCTACCTTTATTTATCGGTTTCAATAAATTATGGCTCATATTTTGTAGCGTTGATGATCCCTGTATTTGTAAAGACAGTTATGATCTAAGTACTTTTGCAATTCTGCCGGCCTTGTCAATGAATAAACAGCAGTCGACTGTGATAGAGTTAACGGCACCTATATTTCTCTGTCTGGTCGAGCACTTCTACTTACTCGATTTTTGTAAGGGTTCTGAAGAACACTGTATGCTTTTATGATGGTAAGTTATTTCTTTGTTACACACTAGTAACTAACGTGATTGCTTACTATGTAATGAATCAGATCGTTCCCGGCAGCAGTCTGCTAAGTTAAGTACGAGAAATCCACACTTAACTACGTAATAATTGATTTACTGGAAGTGTAGTAAAGGTAAAAAAAAGGATCGACCCTCTCGGTTAGTTTGGCAAGATCAACAACAAAATTTATAGAAGGTACACTAGCATGGAAATGAAACCGGAAAATATCAATTCTTTATAAGTCATCCCGCTCAATTTATGATATCATTTGTGAAGCAAGCGCCAAAGTTTTTTATGGAAAAAGGTTCTTGGAGGAGGTATAGGAACTTTCATATAAGCAGCATATGAGCGCTTTTCGCTCCATAGGATTTTGGACTGCCACATTCGATTCCAGACAAGCACGATTGAATCTTCGTAAAGTATATTCGCATTGACTGCTATAAACATACTTCTGAGTGGATTGTTGGTGGGTGAGGTTAGCAAGGACAATTTAAAGGAGCTCTGTTGCTGCCGAGGATTTCATTGCTGAATGTGCGTAAGCATTAATGGGTTACCGATGGCGCTTGCTGCTAAAATCGAATACATGGTCACAATGCGAAAGAACACATTTACACAAACATAATGATGTAGAGTACAATAACAGAAACATGGTAGGTCTTTCCAACATGTACAACATTTGGAGTAAAAAGGAAAAGAGAACCGGTATCCTTGGTGATCTCCTCATTTGCGCACTGAATGTAGAGCACAGCATTAGTTAAAGTAATGTAACTCTCTGCCCATTAATCGTAAGCACTATGTATGCTACATTTCTTTCTCTGTTATGACAATAAATATAAATTTGGCATGTTTTTTTTTTAATTGGCGCATCAAAGTACAGTGTACTCCTTAAATGCTGTACTTTATCCATGAACCGATTGTATTCAATACACGTTATTGATACTGTCCAGCAAAATACAAATCGAGCTATGCTAAGTGTTATAATTAGACTTTAGTTGCAACCATGCGAGTAAGATCCATGATAAACAGATACTTTTAATTGCTGCGTTGTAACCTGGTGCGACACGTCTGGAATAGTTGCAACCATGACAGGCCAACAGACCTAGTTACAACCATGTATATGAATCTTTTGAAACAATGATGCACTGAAATAGTCTTTTTAGTCATATCATCTGTAGAAGCACTACTACTACAGTCATCTTCTTTATACTTGGGTTGAGGCCATATCAAGATAGCTATATACGTCCGATTGAAAGCGTGGCAGAAGACTTTGCTTAATCAGTTGCAACCTAGCCCATCTGTCTGTCAGGTTGCAACTAGTAAGACAGATGAATGTACCTTCTCCAATACAAATAAGTATACTCAGAAACGATACATAAGCATCAATTATCTACTCGCATCTAAAAATATCGGATGCTGAAGCGATTTGTTATACTTGGATGGAAATCATGACAGATAGTTTAACCTACTTAGAAACCATAACAGATGTTGTAGTTTTAATGAGTTTCAACCTAGTACACCGATATGTCATAGTTGCAACCGGGACAGATAGACATGTAGTTTTACTGCGTTTCAACCTAGTACACCGATCTGTCATAGTTGCAACCGGGACGGATAGACATGTAGTTTTACTGCGTTTCAACCTAGTACACCGATCTGTCATAGTTGCAACCGGGACGGATAGACATATAGTTTTACTGCGTTTCAACCTAGTACACCGATCTGTCATAGTTGCAACCAGGACGGATAGACATGTAGTTTTACTTAGTTTCAACCTAGTACACCGATCTGTCATAGTTGCAACCGGGACAGATAGACATGTAGTTTTACTGCGTTTCAACCTAGTACACCGATCTGTCATAGTTGCAACCAGGACAGATAGACGTGCACAGTTGCGATTCTAAGGCAGTTGCGTCTCACAATGTAAGCTAAAGCAATAGCAGGAAATAAACCTACCATACTACATATATAGCTAATAGACATCGTTTCAGTCGACTTGAAACTTTCTAAAACATCTATAATGATTTTTTACTCAAATTATGCAAAAGGTCTACGATTCCAGCAACAAATTGTATCTAATACTGTAGCTTGAGGAGGATGTTTGAAACTTAGTTAAGCACTAGATTACCGCATATATAGCGCTCACATTACATCAGAAGTTTTCTGATCGACTGAAATAAGCTGCTTGAAGTTGCGCAAGGATTTTGTTATAAAGAAAAATAATGAATATGTAATATAAGCAACGAAGCGGTCAAACACCTCTTATCGAAAAATAAAAGAAATAACATTAGTTTCATGCAGCATCATGCACATTGTGAAGTTCTACAACATTATTATAGCTATAGTTGATGGTATCGCTAACATCGATCGCAAAGAAAGTACTTTTACTCAATCTACTAAATTGACTAATTGGAAAATGGTAATATATATCTGAAAAGTGAATGCCATGCCAACAATCGTACCTACTTACTGTCTAAGAGACTTTGCCACAGTAAATTAATTATATTGATGAATAAACATATCAAACGTCTACCTAGTTACTAGGAGTAAAAAGTAGATTAAATATAGTTTATTAATGGAAAGAAAAATGACTCATGTGAGCACTGTGTCTAATATAGAACATAGTCGCTCTAGTCCGATCCTGTTTAGTAAAGTGATATGAAAAAACCTTGAGGAAAATAAAGAAGAATAAAAGTACTATCACAGAGTATGCGATACGTGCGAATAATGGTGCTTAGTAGTAACATCTAACTGCTCAGGCTACGGCGTCATAAAAGGCGTGTTCTGGTTGCAACAGAAGCAGATGCAGCTGTCTACGTTGCAACCATGCCAGACGCTTCTGGCCCGGACAAAACTGGTGAACAGATATGTATATGTATTTTATCGCACTAACTACCATTATACATTGTAATTTACCATTGACGGCATTTTACTAGACTCCTTATTTTTTCTATATTGCTATCTCTTCGTTTCGTTTCACATCGACAAACAGGTTGAGCCGGATACTTATGTTCTTGCGATGAATCGGTACGGTTTTCTTTCATTTTCCGAAAAAGGATATGATAAGCGTGAACAAAGTTTGTAGCTTTCATTCGGAGCTGGTACAGACTTTTGTATTTAATCAGCGTTTTCGTTTAGGAGCTGATATCCTTCTCAATCCTTTATATCGCATTCCCTGCTGAAAGTCGAAGCTATGTCCTCCGCTACTGTTCCTACGTATGTTTATCCTGACAATTAGTATAAAGAATGACTTATAATGGTATTGATTGCTAATGTATAAGCAGTAACATGAAAGCGCTCAACGACTCCACTTTCAATACTCCACCCTTGCCACCCCCACCCCAGCCCACGTTGCCTCAGTGTCGCCCGCGCCGCGCCTCCATGACACCTGGCATGCCAACAGAAACGTGGTACTCCGACAAATACAGGCCAGCGCAATACCCGCTGTACAACTACTGCATCAAGTGTTCCACGCAGTTTGCGGCGGATAACACTTATAAGCTGCACCTGGTTGATATCCATAAGGTGCGATTCAAGCCTGTCAAGCCTGGACCAAAAAGGACAGTATCACGAGCGGTGCGAATTCTAAATAAGCAAGAAAATGAAAGGAAGCGCGCTCGCACCAACGCACAAAGATCTAAAGGCAAAACCCGGGATAAAGCTGCGAAGAAACATCTGTACCAGCTCAATTGCTTGGTTAGTGCGGATAAACAGCTTCACAGATACCTTCAAATGTTTGAATATGTCGATGCAACAATCGATCAGATTGAATTCGAGCCGACAATCATGGAAAGTCATGAAAACTTTGGCGATTGCTGGAAGTATGCCACTTACAGCATTTGTGCCTTCGAAGGACGGTCGTTCTTCAACCCGACGTACAAACACTTCTTTGGGAACATGATAATGGAGAATGCGTGCAGTGCCTACGGCCGGCTATCGCCCACTGAAGCCTTGGTCGTTAATGACGCGGTCAGAATTGCACTGGAGAAGAAGGCACCCAAGTTCCTTGCCAACTATGGCCCAATGTTCCGTGCATTCCGCTGGATTGGATGCCCGTTGCTGGAGCGCGTCAATGTCGACTGCGGCATAGAGCGTGCTAATATCACTGACGATGACGGCGACGACTCGTCGTTAGTTTATGCAAGATATGAGCCAAGAGTACGAAAGTGGGCGAGACTCCTTAGCAAGCAAAGCCCAGATTCAGATGCAGAAGAAGGAGCTGGAGGAGATGAGGAAGAGACAGAGCAAGATAGTAGTAATAGTAGTACTGAAGAACATGGTGTGTATGGTGAAGACGGTAGCAGCAGTGGTGACGGACAGAGTAGGGAGTACAGTGATGACGACGATAATTGAGGAAGTAGAAAAAAGAGCGAAAGATTTTATATTTTAGTTATAGGCTTTATTATTCTTCTAATCGTTACTGCGGCCATCTATTGCCAGGTTGGTATATCGTATATAGAATGATCAAGTTGATATATGAAAAGGGATATAAGGTAAGAACTAAACATTGTAGGTAAAGATGAACATAAGAAAGACTGCAAAGGCAATGTGCACTCTATGGCGAACTAGTTCGTACATGCATAGCGTTATGTACATGTTATGACTGTGTGTACATTTTTACGGTTACCGACTTCAATATGTACTTAAACAAGGGGTACTGAAGAAGATAATCTGATCGTTGCGATCTGTAATGCTTTGGTGCGAGTTCCTGTTATCCACTTACCTTCTCAGTCCTATAAACAGATCACCTAATGGTGTGCTCCTACCCTGAAGGAACATTAAATAACAAACTGTACATATCTAAAAACGCTTATGTACTCAGTTCACGAAATGTCAGTTTCCTTTCAAACTATCAGCAGTAGATAGTGCCAAAATTTGGAATAAAGCTCAATGATCTTACCATAGCCTTTCTTTTGATATCTAAACAATCTGATATGAGCTCTACATCTTAGTATAGATTGCACACTTACATGTGTAAGCGGTATGTAGTGCCTATGCAGCTTGTTTTCAACAGTGATGTAAATGCACCGATTACTACGTTGGTTGCAGACGGAGTGGCGAGCTTCAATCGGTTTAACCTTTCATGAAATATCTAACATAATGACAGTAGTTTCTGTTGATCTTTCTTGTTGAAAAAGTTTACTTGATTTCTATACCGGGATTTCATCCACAGGAAACATGTTCATGAACATGTCGTCATTATCGTCGATCAACTCCTCGTCGTCGTCGTCATTCTCTGCCTCTATGTCAGGCGCTAATTCTTCCGTCTCCTGTCCACCTTCTTCGTCATCGTCATCTTCTTCGCCATCCTGCTGAACACCTCGTACCACTACTGACGCACCTCTGGACAACATATCAGGATCAATGGAAGCTGATCCATTGGCAATTCTGCCTAGAAGTCGTTGCTGCTCTTCCATCCACGCCTCTGCGCGCTCTAACTTTTGCTTCCAAAGCTTACTCATGCCTTGCTTTTCTTGCCAAGATTCTGTGTTCGAAGGTGCTCGTACAATTTCGGGCACAGATGCAATGGCCTCTTGAAGCTTACTTATAACGTTATGGCCGAACTTGATCACCGAAGAGGCTTCGTCCTTTTTTGTTGTTGTTTGCATATTAGAAACAACGTTATGTAACTAATCTTTCATCACAGTTCTCACCTTCAGCAGCTCAAGCTCTTCGTTTGCTCTTCTTAAACCGTGAAACGCGTCATACGGTGTATTAGTTTCCACAGGCAAAATAATGTTACAACGGAAACGAAAGTGGCTGTTTTTCTCAGCACTGTGCTAGAGTCGGGATAAAGCTCGAAGCCTGTTATTATGTTTGTCATGTTAGTAACAGATCTAGGTGTACGTGTACAAAGATTTTTTAAAAACGTCCTTACCGAAAAGTGGACCCACTGAAAGCTTTTCAAGATAGTTATTGAATTGTTTTTCGACTTGAGCACGGGCGGCTTTTCTTTGCCCTGCTAGATTTTGGGTTCGGTTGTGGCCTACAAGATATTATTATTGCATATTAAATTTTCTAACGTATGTGATGAAGGGATCATCGATACGTACAGTGGTCCCCCGCTTTTTGCAGCAGCGGTTTTTGGTGGAAAAAACTGCAAAAAGTGGGGAACTGCAAAAAGTGAGGATGAGTATGAGATGTTACACAGACTGAGTCTATTATGTTAATTAAGTGTCAATGATAGTAAACCAATTAAAAGATATCGGTGCTGTGCTGAGGCTACTTATTATAACTCAACTCTTATATAAAAGGCTGTCGTCTCACTCTTGATGTTTATATACTGCACTATCGACATCTCCACACCACTATGGTAAAAGCGAAATACCAAAAGCTTACTGACGAGCAAAACGACGCTTTATATCAACATTACATTGCTCAAGAGCAAAAAAATCACAAGATTACTTATGGCCAATTGCTTGACTGGGCTAAAGGAAAATACAAGCTTGAAAATGTTCCCAACGAAACAACTATCTCGAGAATGATCATGAAAAGAAAGCGAGATGAAGAGAAGGGTGTTGACAGTAGTAAAAGACAAAAGTCGCGTGCAAAGTTTCCTGTAGGTCTAAATTATTCGAATACTTCTTCGCTATCCATATAATTAATAAAGAACAAATAGGAATTGGAATATGCCCTCTATACGTGGATAGAGCAAAGATTTTTTGAGAAGATCCCAGTCAATTGGGATATTATCAGAAAAGCCGGTGAAAATTTTGCAGCCAAACTGAGTATTCCGTCCAACGAACTGACGTTCTCAAATGGTTGGCAAAATCGCTTCCAAAACCACTACAAGTTGAAGGTGCAAACAATCAGTGGTGAAGCAAGCTCTGCTAATGTCACACTAGCAGAAGCTCAGCTGCCGGAAATCCAGGAAGTCTTGAGAAATTATCCCCTAAGAGACATCTACAATATGGATGAGACTGCAGTATTCTACGCAAGTGCCCCCGTGACTACCATTGCACCTAGGTCATTCAAAGGATTCAAACAGGATAAATCGCGGTTGACATTAGTCCTCACAGTGAATGCTGATGGTTCTGATAAGTGGTATCCTTGGTTCATTGGCGAGGCAAAGCGGCCAATTGTTTTGATCAAGTATGTGATACTTCTTCAAGGTCAAATTGATGACTTACTCACAAATGTCTTTTACGCAATCATAGGCCCAAAGAAAGAAAATCGATATCTCCAAGTACTGTGGAAATGCCAATGCTTGGATGACCCGTGAGATTTTTAAGAAATATCTCACAATGTTAGACAATTCTATGGTCTATCAAAAGCGAAAGATTGCTTTGCTGCTTGACAACTTTTCCGGTCACTACTATGATTATGTCCCGAAGAACATCGAGCTGGTGTATTTGCCGCCAAATACAACTTCATTAATGCAACCTTTGGATGCCGGCATTATTCGCAGCTTTAAAGTACATTTCAAGTATGTTTTGTGATGATTAGTGATCTACTTGCATGCATTGTAGATGGAAATACTAAGGCTATTATTTCTGTTATTGTAATAGGAATCTGCAATATGAGCATGCATATAACAGCATTCAAGAGCGCCTGGAGAAAGGCCTACCTGCTAATAATGGCAACACGTTCCATGTTAATGTTTTGACCGGAATTGCATGGTGCCATCAAGCTTGGAAAAAAGTCTCTGAATCCACCATTAGGAACTGTTACCAAAAAACAGGGGTAGTAGAGAAAGTAATTGATGACAATGTCAACAGTGCATCAGATAATGCAGATGAGGTAGCTCTTGGTCAGATTGACGATCACTTGAACCTCATTTATGGCATTGAAAATCTGGAAAGCTTCACTTTTGATGCAGATCCACCTGAGGAAATTGCAGCTGTCCATCCACTGCTTTCCGATGAAGAGATTGTTCAATCTGTGCTCCAAGAAGAGATAAAAGCAGGTGATAATGTTGCTGATAATGATCGTGATGATGGGGACCAAGGTGCTCACTCTGAATCGGTACTTCCAGTATATACTATGCGGGAAAAAATCAGAACTCTAGAAAAAACTATCAGTATTCTAGATGCCCCAGAACACCAAAGAGTCCGAGACGAACTCAGAAAGATTCGAGATGATATAAGAAAGCAAAGCCAGACCATACAATCTTCAATTACCGCGTATCTTTAGCTGTAAAAAGTTTGTGTAATAAAAATTATCTCTTTATGGAAATAAGGTAGATGTCACTGGTTCGAGACTCTGTGTCCTAGGCTCCCGAGTCAATAGCGGAAAATTGCAGGTCCCCATTTTTGGCCTGTAAAATGCAAAAAGTGAGGAAACTGCAATTTTATTAAGTGATGAGCGGGTTTGCTCCAAAAAAATCTGCAAAAACTGAGGATCTGTAAAAAGCGGGGCTGCAAAAAGCAGGGGACCACTGTACCATTTCCCTGCTGTTTAAAGGCTCTCTCTATGAGGTCATAGATGCCAATGGCCAGGCGCAGGTTCTCCACAGCCCTACTGGCGGCACCAATTCTTCCTCCTTGACGGGTGTTGTTTGTGTCCCTCTGAACCGTCTCATCCACGTGCTCCTTCCATTTCCTTGCCATTGATGCAAGAGAATTCTCGTCACCTTCTTGAATACCGGCTTTCAAAAGTGTCTTCAAAGCATCGGATTTAAGTTCCAAAGCGCGTTTATACTTACGCCGGAGGTTCACACCTATTAGAATGACAAGTATAAATAATGTATTCTCTGAGCGATGAATCAGTAAAGCTATAAAATATGGTACCAATATTGTCTGTTCTTTGCTGCGTGTAAAAGTCAAGAGCAGTAGTCAAGGTGAGCCGTCTGTTGAGAGACGACATGTTGCGTGTCATGGCAACAAATCCGTTGAGGAAAGACCAGAGCCGTTCAAGATGCTCACCATCCTGTATTCCCCACCCTTCCTTGAGGCGAGGATGGTAGTGGATCTGGCACCGTGGGGCATGTCCGGTGATGTGGAATATACCGACAGCAATAGGGACATCCTTAATACAATCCAACGATTCCTAATAACGAGACATGAGTATCTCTGCATTTGATCTAATACTAAAAGTGATTTATAGAACCAACCTGTAATGCTTTTCTAATTTTGCAACCGACGTTATATATAATGCGAATGTTCGATCTGTATAATGGCATCTCAGTTACTTTTTTCAAGCAACTGAGGACGTAGGTGAATCTAACAGTTAATAGATCAGAGATCTGAACTCTGAATAATGTCGCCATAATAATAAGATTGACTTACTGTTCACCAGGCGTTGTAATGTCTGTAATGGCCAGAGGAAGGCCATGGCCACAAGTGCATGCAAATGCACCATTTTGATCTAGATGATCGGTACGCCCGCGGCCCTTCTCGAGAGCTTGCCACGCGCTACAGCCATCAGTTGCCTAACCACAGATAACAATACATTTTAAGCTGGAACTGAAAGAATGATGCTTCTTGTCATCTGACAAGTAAAAACTTACTGCGTTACGGTATTGGACGACTTGGTTATCTTTAACCCAATACCAATCCACTTCTTCTTGATCAGTAAATGCGACGTCTTTTGGGTCCTTCGTTTTCGCAAAGCGTCGTAGTTGCATGTTACTGTCTGCAGCGACAATTTTGGGACCAGACTAGTAGGATGTAGATGATTGCCACCTCAATATATTAACACGATAGTGCTACAACTTCAACACAGCACAAACTTACCATATACATGCATGCCGGACATGCTCTTTGTAGGTCAGATCCGTTTGTGATAAACGTGGGTTGTGGATAGAGTAAAAAGATTGAATAAGAGACAATATGAAAATACAGTGAGAGTCAAATATGAGATGATCTTTATTGAATGAATTCACAACCCTTTATATACTGTTGAAGATGGTGTCTAGACTTCCGTCTGGATAAACTGATGAATGGATCGCGGACATGCCGGATTTCGGATGTTTCAAAGATGAAGAAGGATGGGAAGGTTGAGTTTGTCGGCCATGATAATGGACATTGTCTTCCGATTGTAAAGAGTCATCTTTGCTATGATCAGTGTGTTCCTTGTTTGGCGAAGTCTCACCTTTGTCAGTGCTGGAATTGGTATCCGCTCTTTGACAGGTACACTTCGCTCAACTCAGATAAGCTAGATTCAAAGGAAGTGCTGACTAACTCGAGAATAGGACAATGTGTATACAATGGTTGGTCCTGAGTTATTCTCGATTGGTAATCCATGTTTGAGAGATTATCGATATGGTGCTAATTATGTAATAATTGATTCATCCGTGTGTGTGGTGTTCTCTCTACTGCGTTCTAATGGTTACGAAGACGGCGGAGCGGGTTGAGTTGTCCGGATCAATCTCAAAGTAGTGTGGTTTACCACATTACCCCCTTCCAGGTTAGATTATAACCGTTTGTCTTGAGAACTAATGGAAGTTTAAAACTTCATAACGGCGAGCTTTTAAGCGTTTGCTTTGACGTGATGGACGTGTAGACGTTGAGGGCCGCGTTGCAGTACCACGTTTCGATGTAGATCGTGTCGATCGTGCGGATCGTTTGGATGGTTGTGCAGAAGCAGTTATTGCTTTGTTCTGCATTGTTGGTGTAACAGTACCAAGCCGCGTCCAGTACTCAGCTATGCGCTGTGGGCTACTGAACTTATCAGGAGGGAGCCAGCTGTCATCTTTTTCATCATAGCCTTCCCATCGAATTCTGTATAGGTAATTTCCACCTGACAGTTCTTTGTGGTCTACTACTGCTTGAACAGTGTACCAATTTTTTCCTTCTTGGCGTATCTCATCAAGTGAAACAATTTCGTCTTCGGAAATTAACTTGAGTTGTGAAGGAGGAAAGTCTCTAGGCATTAAAAGTCCTTGTTCATCCATAAGAACGTATGATCCGCCTTTTGTTTCCCTGACTACGGTGTATGGTCCTTCATAAGCTGGAGCTAATTTCCCACCGCGTTTCATATCCCTAATCATCACTTTGCTGTGCGTGGGAAATTTTACTAATCTGTACTTTTTGTCAAACTTGCCCTTCTTTAAGTTGTTTTTGGCTTGTACTCTTTCAGCGATAGCTGGGAATACAACACCTGCCATTTCTTCAATGCGTCCTAATAGCTCATCATTTGTCATTGGCCTCAGAACATCATCGTTGGCATAATTTTCAAAACCATTCATTGCTCGTGCAAACATTAGAGTGTAAGGTGAGGACCCATGTAGCTCTGTTAGTTTGGCGTTGATGGCGAGTTGTGACACCGGGACGTACATATCCCAATCACGTATAGCGCCTTTGATCATTTTGCGTAGCATGTTGACCGCTGTTTGTACGTGGCGTTCGGCTAAGCCATTGGCTCTAGGGTGAAACTTCGTGACTAGGCGATGAGAGAACCCTGCTTTCTCTTCTATCGTTTTCATCAGTTGGTTCACGAATTCCGTACCATGGTCAGATTGCAAAAACCGCGGAAAGCCATAGTTACAGAATACGTCGACAACGACGCTCGTAATGGTTTCTTGTGTTTTGTCGGGAATGGCGCGTAGAACAGTGAAGCGTGTGCAGACGTCGACCATGACTAGTAAA